GATATCTTTTAAAAGAAGTGAGATATATAGGCTCAAAGTGGACGATCCGGGTGTCGTTCTATTAGAGATTTTACGGTATTTAATGAATATAATGAGAATAATCATATTTTTACAGATTACGATGTTGAGCTATGGAATCCTACAGCATTCAACGCAGATAATAAATCAGCACGACTTCCAGCTGAGCTTTTACTTTTGCCAGAAGCCCGAGACGTTTTTGACCAGTTCAGGGTGAGGAAATTATATCTACTTCTCTAGAAATTGCCTTATCAGATACAGTACGAAAAACCTGTTTCTACAACCTGATTTTTCACAAACAAACCTTTTTATATAAATAAGCAAGTTCAATTGTTTAAAAATATATTTACAATACCGGTCAGGAAGATATACAAAAACGTATTTTTCAGTTGATTTTTAGCCATTTTCAGGAGCCTGGAGCTCGACTGTCAAATTTCCGATCACTTTGAAAATTTTGGAGGGTTTAAAACAGACTTAGATTGAAAACTTGCATCCACAGAGTTTTTGGGAAACTCATTTTATTTTCCGATTTCTGATAGACAAAAAAAGGTAAATTAGAAAACTTCAAAAATGCTGCCAATTCAAAGTTTTCAATATAGTTTTCAACCAGTGAAAATTCGCGGCTACGCCGCGATTTCCACTGGCTTCAGTTTAAATTCAAAAAGTTCCAATTATCATTTTATTTTTTGAAAATTTATTAGTAGAACAATTGATTAGAAGAACAATTCTAAAACCATCAAAAAGGGACAGACTGGTATTAAAAATCAACTGAAAAATACGTTTTTGTACATATTATGGACCGGTACTGTAATTTTACGCTACGCGGTCAAAGATTGTGTATTTAAAAAAAAAGGTACGGTAGCCAGGCGATGCAGTCAAAGGTGTAAACACCGTGGCGCAAAACTGCATAATGTCCGTTAAGACTCCCAGAAGTTGCTTAGATTTTGATAAGGATAAAATACTACAAACTGAACTTTTTTTTGAAATTTTTGTTTCACATTTTTGATTTAACGATCAAAACTCTTTTCAATCAATCCGTACTTAATATTTTGTCCAATAAGTTTTTATTCAGATCTCAACACAAAACCTTCGCCACATCCACCAATTAAGCCAAGAACTCGAATATCTCCTCCACGAAGTCCCCCAAATATTCCCTGGCTCCTCCCTAGAATCCTCTTTCCCTTATTTTCAAAACTTCTCAATTACCAAGAAGCTCACACCCGACGTCATCGCAGAAGCTTACTCCAGATTCCAACAGAAGCTCATGGAAAACGCTCGTGGTCAACTTGAAGAGTGTCTTCTAGAAGTTTCCTCAGCGATTCAGAATTCTTGGGGACCCACAGAATATGTACACGTGGATTTGAAGAGGTTGGAGAGGGTGAGAAGTGTGTTGGATGGAGATCAGAGGTACGAGTGGATGAAGATGATGGAAGGAGAGAGGGACCAAATGATTTTATCATTTTTACCATTCATTTTCAATGCGAGTCCGTTGAATTGTCCTACTGCCGATATGTGTATCGATATAGTTGGTACTTCGATTTTGAATGATTTCTCGGAACAAACGAGCACTTTTGGAGGATCTTCTGGATTTTCAGAGTGTTTTGAGGCGACTAGGAGGAATTCGGGAAAGCGCATGCTAAGGGTTCAGGTAGGACACAGAGACAACATTACATTGAATTTTTTAATAAGGTCATTGGAGACGTTGAGAAACAGAAATTCTTCGAAATATTTGAATTTTGTTTCACCTCCTAACTATCCTAACTTAAAATTTTGGAAATTATGTTAAAACTAAAACTTATGAATTTAACAGTTTCAAAATGTTGATACAGCACATGATTATCAGAAACATTTTAGTTCCTTACAATTAGTGGCCCCATTTCATTATCTACCTGCATTCAACTTTGACCCGATTTATCTCAGTTCCTGTGAATGATATATAAAAGTAGCCAACTAGTAAAATATTTCGCATAATATGAAAAATATTTTAACAGTTTACCACTTTTTGATATCTTTTACAGGAACCGAGATAAATTGGGTCAAGGTTGAAAGTGAGGCTGTGCAATGGCCGGCCAATTTATTTATTTATTTCAACGAAGGGAAGAAAATCACTAACACGTGAAATGTCTATGAACCAATGCCGCGACTTGCTTAGTTTTGCCTGAGAGTTCAAAATTCATCAACAACAAATGTTTCTTCCAGATTTGTGCAATGTGCGGAGACCGGATATCCATCGACTCATTGGCAACGTCTCTCTTCCATAATGATCTCATTCGATCCTCAAATCTCAACTACTCATCCGATGGCTCCAGCTACCTTGAAGTTCTAGACGAATCCACGCAAAACTGGAATACCCTTGAAATCTCGATGAACAGTTTTCATTCTTGGTTCCATCAAAACGACCAGTGTCCCATGCAATTTTTGGACTTCACCGATGCCTATCTTTTTGTGTACAACTCCGCGCGAGCGTCAAGTTTCAATTATGCACGGTGTGCAATCGAAAAACTCGCGTTGTCCGTGAATTTCGATTGTATTTTGTTGGTGGCTGTGGTTGAAGAGACGGAGACTGATTCTATGAAGGTGAGTCAATAATAACATCGTTTTTATGGAGCATGGGCGGGCAGGTCATGAGCAATGTGTGTTTGTGGCAACAACTCACTCCTACGATCATTTTTTAAGGGTTTCTATGTGTTAATTTATAACTACATACTTCTTAAACATCATTTTGTCTTAAGAATGCCCTCACAAAGTACCATAGTTGCAAGCGGGTCGGCTGATATCTTGTCCCTAGAACGAGATATTCAGACAATTTTAGTGCCAAATGATAGATCTCGACAGGACCCATCACGCCTATACCAGTCCCGATTCCATTCCGGTAAAGCCGACCCGCCACCTGCCTGGGCCAGCCCGATTGCAACTATGCAAAGTCCTTTGGAGCCAGGCGGTCCTATTCCACTCGCTTACTGTCCTAACTTTAATTTTACAAAAAAAAAAATCCAAAAATTAAACTTTATATAGATAACAGTTTCATGTAGTTAACATAACAAGTTAACAGAAACATTTCAGTACTACGGCTTATTCATGACGTTCCTTAATTACTTTCAATTTTGCACTGGTTTATCTCGATCCCTGTAAAATATATCAAAAAGTCGTCAACTAACAAAACATTTAGTATAATATTTTAAATATTTTGTTAGTTTATCACTTTTTGATGACCTTTACAGTAACCGAGATAAATTGGGTCAAAGTTGACACTACAGGTTCTTTGGTTTATTCAAGTAGGAAATTTTGGATTTTTTTGATTTAACGTTTTGAGGTGTTGCTTTTTTAAAATGTCATAAACCTGTAAAAGATTCCCCCAAGTTGTCAGTTTTAGATTGATTTTTCTCGTTTTCTATAAATGATATCGAAAAAAGCCAACTAACAAAATGTTCATCATAATATCAGCTACATTTTACGAATTAACCACTTTTTGAAAATTTTTACAGGAACCGAGATAAATTGTTTTAAAGTTGGCAGACTTTTTTACTACAGGTTATACGGTTTATTCGAGTAGAAAACTTTGGTTTTCTTGAGTATTACTATCAGTGAGGTTTCACAGAATCTCAAGTTTTTTTCAGAATTGATCTGATTCGTGGAAAACTAACTTGTAGTTTGATAACTTCTCAATTCATCAAGATTTTGAAACTGAAAAAAATTTTGGCAGTAGCGCATTTTCTTCAAACTACTGTAGTTTTCGACAATTGTTTTGTGTCTTCTTTCTAATTCCAGAGTATTTATGACAAATAAATTTACAATGTTTCAATTTCGTTATGAAACTGTCGGAATAATCTTTTCCTTATTGACTTTGTGCAATTTGAATGTTTCTGCTAAACAAAACTTATCGTAAAAACTGTAAAAAACGCTCCCTATATACTTCGAGCTAAATTACCTCGATTTCCGGGAGAGATATCGAAAATTTGATAACCACAAAAATGTTGGTGTATTATGATAAAAATTTCATCAGTTGACCAATTTTTCATCTTTTTCAGAAATTGAGATGAGTGAGCTTGACGTCCAAGTAAAAGATGGCGTTCTCTTACAGTACTCTGATTTTCGAAAAACTGAAAATGGGTATTTGAGTATATGATTTTTGAAGTTCAAAAGTTAACTTTTTGGATATCATCTCTACTCTAACCTACTCATTTATTTTTTCTTCTCGACTCATTTATTTATTTATTTCAACGAAGGGGAGAAAACCACTAACACGTGAAATGTCTATGAAACTAGGAGATATAACAGGGACATACATTTGTAGTAATTCGGAGATGAAGGAAAAACCGAGTTAGTAATTAGTTGAATTCAAGACAAGGAAATGTTTTAGATCACAGGATAATAGTCGATTTTTGAAAGCCGCTGACGAGGGCTTCACCGGAAACACTTTGGCGGGTAAAGAGTTCCAACATCTGATTACTCTATTAGAGAGAAATTGAGAAGATATTTTTGTTGAGTTTTTGATAAGTGATTTGAGATAGTATTTGTGACGTCGTCGCAATGATCCAGCATGATTAAATATTTCGAAAATTGGAACCTCCATGATAATTTCTTTGGAAACAATAAATAACTACTCTTCACAAGATTAATTTTCTATGAAAACATTCTGAAACAGCAAATTTTAGTTGTGCTGGGTTTTCAGAAAGTTGTTGCGTTTCACAGTAGGCTGCCCTGATTTCACTAGTTTTTTGAACTATAGTATATATCAACGATTTAATAAATCATTAAAATTTTACTAAAAGTTTAACACACATCTGAAACTGTAAATTTATGTATTTTGGATTCTAAAAATGTTCCAACAGCTGTAAGATTTTCAAATCACGAAAAAATAATAGGCATAATTGGTATTAAAGGACGTCTCAGAAAGTTTGGGACCGAACTATTGTGTTGTCCCAAAAATATTGCTGTTTTAGAAAGCAAGTTTCACCAGTTTTCAAAATTGTGAACTCCAATTGAATTCAATAACCCTCTGCCGCGAAACGTTGCTTTAGCTTTCATTAATTTACTGTACTTTTTTCTTTTTATTGAAACATTGACAATTTTGGTTACAGCTACGAATAATCAAAGTTTTATAATAACATTCTAGAACTTGGTTAATTTTTGTGCATTACAAGTGTTGTGTGCATGATATTGACTGTTCGTCGTGCAAAAGAGCAAGTGTGTGTGTGTGTGTGTGTGTGTGTGAGAGAGAGAGAGAGAGAGAGAGAAATTTGTGAAGAATGGGAGAGGAGAGAACTACTTGAGGGGGAGAGCACAGGAGAGTGGATACAAACCGTCCCTTCTTCCTTTGTTTGCTTTGAAAGGCGGCTAGCTAAAGCTCGTTTTTTGACGAGATTCTCAATTTTTTTCTCGCTTTCATTTTTAAGGTTTATATACCTTTTGTTTCTCATTTGTTAGACAGGAATGAACCATATCAAGTTCAACAAACTGCTTTTTTCCATTCAACGAACTGCTTTTTTCCACAGGCGGGGCTCCCGCGTAAAAGCGGGAGCCCCGTTGCCAACCCTAATAAGCATTATCTCAAATTTACGAGAATTTTGAAATAGTAATTTCTCGCTTTCAATCGTTTTTTATTATCAAATGTGTCTTGAGACAAAAACCCCTATTTTGGCCCTATTTTCAAAATTTGAAACTGGAAATTAGGCTTAAAAGTTCTGTTTCATAAATAATACTAAAGTTTCTAACAATTTTTGCCATGGTTCTCAATTTATAACTTTCTAAAGTTTAGGAATTTCATATTTTTGCTTGATCCGTTTTTACACTATTGAACAAAGTCACGACTTGTGTAAGAGTATTACAAAGTTCTTGAAACATTGAAAAACTTTTTCGAGTTTTTAACGTTTTTACTGTTTCATAAATGTGACATCCCTTTGAGCTTATTGGATTCGAACTATTTCCATTCCTTTTTCCGAAGTTTCTAAACAATCCCCAAGCTCCGCCCCCTCAAATACCTCCCACCCCCAAATTATAATAACCAATTCCCCTTTTTTTTCAGCTCAACTTGGAATATCTATCAGAAGGTGCTGAACTTTGCAAAGCGATTGGCGCTCGGTTCTCAGTGATAGATTTACGAAAACGGAAGACGAATTTTCTGAATCGACAGCTGATGGAGTTTTTGAATGATGTACTTGATGGACAAGTCCAAACGATTCGGACTATGGAGAATGAGGAAATGTGAGATGATTTTTTGAGCTTGCAAGCTACAGCTACATTACTATACATTACTAAAGCTACTTAATATATATATACGACGTATATTAAGATTTGAAGTTTCAATAGTAATACACGGACCTCTTGAAACAGAGAAATTTTCGTTTTGAATGAAAACAGCAACTTTGAGCTCAATTATCTCAATTTTATATCGAAAAATTGTTAACTAATATAATGTTTATCGTATTATCAGTAACGTTTTATCAATTAAAACATGTTTGATATCTCTTATAGAAAATGAGATAATTGAGTTCAAAGTTTACGATACCTTTTTTCCGAGAAAACTGCAAAAATGATCCTCGCAAAGAATATATTTTCAGAAGAAGTCTAGAAAATGATCGACCTTCTATGCTGGCTCCATCCTTCACGTCTTCAGGAATCCAACTGTTGACAAGTTAGTTTTTTACGGATTCATTAATCTAACAAATTTAGTCAAAAAATTTTCATCTTGTTCTCTTTGTCGAACGTTGCTTTAGAACCCGACACCACTAATCGAAGTCGACGTCAGAAAGCTGGGAACTCAAATTTGAGGTTAGTTTGATCCTATTTATCGTGCTTTTTTCGAAAGATATGAAAAATCTGTCAACTGATAAAATGTTTGTGATAATATGATATAAATTTTGTTAGTTGACGAAAATTTGATATCTCTGACAAGGACCTAAATAAATAGGGTCAAGGTATATGCTATAGATTTTATGGACCTAGATTCTTAAACATTTTCCAGAAACCGTGTCACCCGAACCGATCCTCTGATTCTGTCCCATTTCTACACTGCCCCTATTGAAATCCAACCAGCACCACTGGCAACCCCAGAGCATGTGGATTTCTCGCCAGCCTACTCGTTGGTCAATGTGAGTTTGATTTTCAACGTAACGTATTTCCTCTAAATAAACTTTGAGCTCAATTATCTCAATTTCTGTAAGAGATATCAAAAATGTGTCAACTGATAAAATGTTTATCATAATATCACCAACTTTGTAGTTTACAAATTTTTTGTATCTCTTATGAGGACTGAAATAGTTGCGGTCAAATGCAGTTGCGAAAACTAAGTTGAAACTAATTTCACTGTTTTTAAATACTGTTAAGCAAATACCCAATTTTCAAAGTTCAATTATCTGCCAGTCTTTTACATATTATGCGGTATTTCAGCTTTAAAATCCTCGGTTCTTAAATTTACGAAAGCGTTCTCCTTAATATTTATCAAAATACCTTGAACGCCTTATTAGCTTTTTGAAACATTAAAAAATTTCAGGACGCTGTACACACAATCATACAGGTCAATGGATCGTCTCCAAAAATCACTGCTTCCCCGATTTTCAATAAATACGACTCGTCTCCAGAAACCAGAAGTACCACGTCTACAGTATCCGGGGCTAGTTCAGGTATGAAACCAGTAACAAGGATGATTGGGGATACGAGGGATTCTACTATATTTCAAAAATCTTCCAGTTTCATAAATTCCATTTATCCTATTGTTTAAATTAGTTTTAGTACAAAGAAAGAATTTTAATTTGGGTGTTTTTGGGATAGGCGGCCTAGCGGTCGCTTTCGAAAGAACGGACTATTGGTCCACGGCAACCTACTCACGGCCCGGGCCGCGGCCGACCAATGGCAAAACAAAGTACATCATCATTCAAAAATACACTTTTCCAGCTCCCCGCGCCGTCTCCGCTGATGTCACCCGCCGATCGCGTACTTCTAACGTCTCCCTATCCAACGACTCCATCAACCGCCTCCACCGAACTTCAAATCTCTTCCAACTACATCCAGAAACTGCAATCACCGCTGAACAGAAGCAAAAATCGCTATCAATTGAATCGCTAACAAAAGAGAAGGAAAAGGATCGAAGTCGAGGATTTGTTAGAAAAGTTGCGACGTCGTTCCGGTTACGAAAGAATTTGGGGGATACAGATGAGGGAAAGAAGAAAGAGGAGAATAAGAAGAAGAGCTCTGTGCCAACGACGTCTCCAGAACAGATATCGTCGTTTTTGGAGAAAATGGCAACGAGGTCGCTTCCACAGTCGCCAAGGACCGATCGGAAGGCAAAGTTGTATTCTTCCTTAAGTGAGTTACTGTTACAAAAGGGTGGTATGAGGGATGGAAAAATTGAGAAATTATTGATCCGCCTTTAGCATAGAAAACTTGGAGTACCGTATCGCTATTGGCTGAGCCAAGGCCACATCGAGTCGTTAGGCACCTTGTCCTTCCTCAGAAGTACCGTAACCAAAAACTCACAAACTTGTTTTTGCAGCCTTCAGCAACGCAGTCGAAAAATCGATTTACCTCCATTTATGGGTCCAATTGATTCTTTAAGAGAAAAATACCATCTACTTCCAGATAGTACCACCGAAAAAGTGTCCAATGTATTGTCCTGGATCCCATCGAAATCTTCAAAACGGCTCATGAAGAATAAAAGTGCTACACATGATGTAAGAACTTTTCGTGCAAAACGAATCTCATTTTGGAATTCCAGCTAAGCACATCGCTTATCAACTGCAACACGGCGAGTACCAGTACTCAAGGAGTGATAGCAGCAAATGAGAATCTGGAGACTCTGTGTTCATCGTCCACATCTGGAATTGCAGTTTATCTCGAAAAATGTATCGAGTTTATTGAGAATGTGAGTGATCTAGCCTAATTATCTTAATTTCTGAGACAAATATCAAAAAATTTCCAACTGATAAAATGTTCCTTATGTTATCACCGACATTTCATTAGTTGACAAGATTTTGATACCTTTTAAAGTAACCGAGATAATTGAGCTCGAAATGAAACCCATTTTTCAGAATGGAGGATTCGAACAAGAGGGACTGTATCGCGTTCCAGGAAACCAAACCCATTTGGCCGAACTGGAAAAGAGGTTTTTGAAAAAAGTAAGTTTAGCAGTTCGGCCTTGTTGACTCATCGAGAAAAATCTATTACTTCAAATTTTATGACTTTTCCGAAACAGTAAAAAGCTTCAGGGCGATTTCGACGTCTCCCAATTCGATACACCGGTCCATGTGGCAGCGACAGCGCTGAAAAGTTTCTTCTCGTGTCTTCCAGAGTCGCTGATTCCGACGGATTTTCATCCCAGGTGGAAGCAGATTATGATGGTGGAGGATGAGCAAGAGGTATTGTACTTGCTGGTGTGTAACTCGGGTCAAACTCAACGTTTTTAATTAAATTTAGTATCATTTTGAAGATATATTAAGTTCTACACTAACCTTTTTGATTTGATCCGGAAATCCAAGTTTGAGCCGAGTTATGGCCTTTTCATGAATCACTGTTTCAAGTTGGTATCATAGTGTTCACCGATTCTGCGGAAGTTATTAAAGATGACACCCCAACTTTATTTTTTCTCAGAAAATCAACGGAATCCGCGACGCGTTATCTCAACTTCCTTCATCCAACCAACAAGTACTACGGTATCTAGTCACGCATCTTTCAAAAGTGTCATGTTCACCCAAGACCGTCATGAATTCGAATAATTTGGCAAAAGTGTGGACACCCACGCTTTTCAGGTAAGAATATTCGAAAACTTTAAAAACGGCGCAATAATTTGTCTCGTTTCTTTAAGTCAAGAAAAACTCAAACCAAAAAGGAAACCTTGAATACCTTGAAACTGCCTTAAGCTACCTTAAGCTACCTTGAGCTAGAACTATCTTAAACTAACTCAATCTACTTTAAAGGTTGAACTATCTCAAGCTATCTTAAACTATTTTAAGCTGTTTTAAGCTACCTTAAAGATGGGGGGACAGGAGAATTTTCGTAGTTTTTTTGTAGCTAGAGTATGCATTCTACCGTCACGGTGTACAACGCTTAATGTCACTCTGCGTACAGCTGTCGTCCTCGCCTTTATGTATGCAATCGGGCGTGCCCTTTCTCTTTGCCCGCGTGGCTCAGTCGGTAGCGGCGCCGCACCCTCAATCATCGCCCTCACAAGTTCAACTCCTCGAGGGGCATCTTTGAACGGAATTTCGAGAACATTATTTTTTTCATTTCCCCCCACCTTTAAAGGATAGACTATTCTAAACTACATTAAACTAACGCAAGCCGGAACAAACTGAAGCTTCTTCAAAGTTTAAACTTTCTCAAGCTACGTCAAGCTATCCTAAGTTATCTCATGCTAACTTAAAGGTTAAACTACCTCAAGCTACGGTTGAAAGTTTCAAATACCATCATTATCAAAATCAGCATATTTAAATATCTTATCATCCCCTTGAAACATAAATTTCACGAATTGAAGGTAACTACAGTAACCTTCAGTTACCTTAAGCTTGAACTATCTTCAGCTACCTTTAGCTACCTCAAATGTTAAACTACTTTAAGCTAGCTTGAACTAACTTAAAGTTTGAATTATCTTGAGCTACCTTAAAGATGTCTATCAACTGCTCAAAAATCAAAACCTTTATCAAAATCAGTGTTTCCCAATCTACATATTACCAAATGCTTGAAACAGAATTTATTTTTCAAAAAACAATTTTCAAACTGAAAAAAAACATGGTCCATTTTTTCAGACCTGTGTTCACATCGTATGAAGAACTATCATCTGGTATCATTGCATTTCAATTGGCACTCGAATTGCTCATCGTTAACGCTCATTCACTTTTCCCAATCAGCACGCTTCTGTGAAGCAATTGAAATCTTCAGTTAATTCGGGCCATAATTTTTTGAATTTCAGTTTTTTTTTTCGTGTTTCAGTTTTTGATAATAAAATTCGTTATAATACACATGATTCAGTTTGAAGATCTACAGGTTTTTTGGTATGCTGAATAGGATGGGATTAGCCGTTTCATGCTAAAACTAGTAGTTTTGTTCAAAAACCTCGGTCACATCATGAAAACTGATCATAATCGTCAAACTTTCTCATGAACTCTCTGGAACTGGAATTTTTTTACGAAAAAAATTGTGCATTGCTCACTTCCTATCAATTCCAGCTATAAAAACATCTGCTTTATGCGCAGATTTCGTTTCATTTCACCTGCATCTTACTCAAAAAATCACCATGACAACCTCACCCATTTTTTTCTCCCTAATCTTATTACTTTTCTGTTTCATTGAGCTGCCAAAACGGATTAGTGGTTTTGGCTACATTTTTACTATTTTATTCAGTCGAATTTTAAAAAAAAGGAGGAAAAATGATGATCGATATTTGTGTTCCGTATGAGGATTTCGAGTATAATGCAGTGGGACATTGTGAGTTGCTTTTCTAGTTGATTTTAGCCCATTTTTAGGAGTCTGGAGCTCGACTGTCATCACTTTGAAAACTTTGGAGGGTGTAAAACAGACCTAGATTGAAAACTTTGCATTCAACAAATTTTTCAAAAACTTTTAGTTTTTACTTAAATGTACAGTACTAGATTGAAGTACAAATATCTGGATAAATCAATAGTAACCCATTTTCATCAGAATCTGAACTTACGAAATTTTGAAATTTTATCTGTTCCACACTAGTCATAATTGAATTCCATTTTTCTACAGATAATTTAGTCATTCCATGGGATTTTTCAGACCGCGGCTACTTCGTCATAGTGGAACACATTCTTCTAATCTACCTTACTGTTTTATACCTCCGCATGCGGTCCAATAAGACACCGACTGAAATGTATATTAGGAATCTGTGTAAGTGATATAAAAATTGCAAACTGATAAAATGTGGACCGTATATAATTGAAAAAAATTTCAGTGCTAATAACCTGGCCAATCCTCCCAATCAGATTGATCAAGTCGGTGTTCACCGCCTATTTTCCAATGGAAGCGTCTCAAAGGTACATAAGCCCATATTTCTCCTTTCCTGCATACTTTTAAAATTCCGGGCCGGCCCGCCAAAGCCCGGGCCCGGCCCGGGCCTGATGAAAATTTCAAGGCGCGGGCCCGGCCCGGAAGGCCCGGTAGCAAAAATTTTGTCGTTTTGAACCGAATTTTGAGCTCTCAATACAATTTTCTATATTTTTTTGTGCTTTTTGGATTGTTTGTCTGTTTGATCAAAAAATATCAAAAAAAAACTCGAAAAAAATTTTTTGATCGAAAAAAATCACATAAGGGTCCCCGCTTATGTGTTTTTTGAAATTTTCAAAACTTGTGGAATGACAGGCCCACCGGGCCGGGCCGGGACTCCGAAATTTGGGAAAAAGCCCGGCCCGGCCCGTTACAAGTATGCTTTCCTGTAAAAAATACCAAAAAATGATCTGATAAAATGTTTATCGTAATACCAGCAATATTTAAACAGTTAACCACTTTTTGACATCTTTTACACGAACCGAGATAAATTGGATCAAAGTTGAAGATAGAATTCTCTTTGAAGTATTGAGTGAAACTTTGATAACTTGATAACGCTTCAATGTAGTCCTAATAAATATTGTGTAAATATCGTATTAACGAAACAGCGAAAACAATTCCAGTTACTTCCTGTGCTACTTGCTGCGAATAGAAACCACACTACAGTACACATTCACACTTGCTCATCTTTTAATGTTGTCCTATTTTGCACGTCAAGTATCAAAACATCGAAGTGTCAGTTTTGAGGTCACTGGGAGAATGAGGTAATTAAAATTATGATAATGGTCGGAATTATCAATCATTTTTAAATGGCATATTCGAAACCGAGAAGAAGTTACTTTGACTTTATTATCCCGGTTCCTATAAAAAATGTCAGAAGTTTGACAACTGATAAAATGTTTGCCATAACACCAGTAACATTTTATCAGCTGACATACTTCACAATCAGATAACTCTTACAGAAATTGAGAAAAATTTGCGAATTGCGAACGCTATCAATGTTCTCTTTTTTTCAAATTTTAACTGCAGTTTTTAGAACAGGAAAAATTTTTGACAAAAATTTATTTCAGAAACACCCTCCACTTCTTCAACATCTTCTCCTTGACCAGTTCAATTTTCCTTGTGAATCTTCAATTTTCTCATGGCATCGTCAAAATCTTCAGCTGCATTTATGCCCTTCCATCTGTGTTTTTCTTGCCTTTTTATTTGGTTCAACATTTGGTGGTAAGCACTCCTCCTTGATAACTTCAGACCCATTTATCTCAGTTTCCATGAGAGATATCAAAAAGCAGTCAACTGATAAAATATTAGCGATATTATGATACACATTTTATCAGTTGACCACTTTTTGATATTTTTACAGAATGTGATGACCTGGAAGTCCGAAGAGAACTTCCAGTTAACGACTAGAAAGACTGAATGTGAATAGAGGGTTGAAAGTTACATAGGACGACTAGGAGAGCTGCGAATACAAGACTGCTTTGAGAGGTTGACCTGAAATGTAGCGAAAGTACAACTAAGGATTTAGATGACATTTTTATTAAATTGGAGAAAACGTACAGAGTGTTTCCGCCGCGTTAAAACTCCTGATAATACTGCATGGGACCGGGACACATTGTACAAAAAGGGGAGAAAGAAAAGGGAATTCGGCATCATGAACACATAAGAAAAATAGGAGTTTTCCAGTTCTGCGATACGCGAGTCCTCTGCGTAGACGACGGACCCGTGTGGAGCTTTTCAAGGCGGTTCAGTTCCCTCTGTGAAGAATAAATCTGCAATATCTGCGGGGGACAAAAACTGCGAATACAAACCTGTTTCTAGACAGAACTTGTATTAATTCATAGAAAACGTGCGAAGTTATGAATCTGCCGGGGGAAATTAAATTACAATTGGCAAGTCCTAAAATTATCCAAGCGCGCTCCTTTGGACACCGATGAGAGAGCGTGGCGACTACGACGGGACGGGAAGAGAAGCGACGCGTCGGCGGGAAATACGCAAACAAGAAGTTGAGCCTGATGGGAGAATCTATAATTAAAATATAAAACAAGATAATGGAAAATTGGGAAAAGTAAACTGCAGTTCTGCGAGGGAATCTGCTTAGTTCTGCTGATTTATGTATTGTCTCCTGCCGTTTTAGACGTGTTACTCAGTCTGTTTCACACTGCTTTTGCGATAAGGATTCCACCCGACTTGTGGAAGCGTAGTTTTCACAACACAGAATCCGAGATAATTGAGCTTAAGGTGCAAGCGCTTGGCCCCAAAAATTCATTGCACTTTGAGCTTAATTATCTGGGTCCCGTAAGTGATATCAAAAAGTAGTCAACTGATAAAATGTTGGTGATTTTATGATAACACAAGTTGACAGATTTAGAAAATCTCTTACAAGAACCGAGATAAATCGAGTCTAAGTAAGTTTGTTTTTCAGGCGTTGATAAAAAGCACCTGCAAGCGATTCATGAGACGAAAGGATGGCGATGAGAACCATTTCAGCTACTTTTGGTTCTACATTCTTCAGTTTCTGATTACTGTAGCACATATTTATCAATTTTGTGAGTTTTCATTCGTTTAATACTGTCACACTTATAACGTAACTTATAACTCTAGCTCATAACTTATTCTAAGCCGTTTCTCTTCATTCTCAAGAATTCCAGATTCCAGGAAATTTTTACTGATACACTTAAAACATAACATATAACTTTAACTCCAACCGTATTCTTCGTTCCAGGTGCCATCCAAACCTTTCTGATCCCTGCAATCTTCCCTCAATTCGCTGGTGACTATCTTATCACATTTCGTTATGTCACTGGCGTCCTTTCGGTTCGTTTCATGGTGTCCATCATTTTCGCGACAGGACCCTTACTGTTCATCCCACCGATACGGTATCAAATATTCCGACCGATCCTCAAAATGAAAGCAGATCGAGTTGCTGCGGCGGCAACGAATGATGTTCGAAGTGCTGATCAGATTCAAGTCACTTTTGTGAATTAATAAAAATCCTTCATTTTTAAGAAAGTTGAATTTTTTCTTAATTTCTTACCTGTACCATAACTCTTCAGCATTATGGATTTCCCCAAACATCAGCAGAGTCACGAAGAATCCTCTCAGTTGTGGTGCAGAATGAAATGACGCTGCTTCTTCCAACGACTTTTCATAGAAAATGTCCTCAGTCAAGTATCCGGCAGCTTTAGCAGCATCCACAAATTTCTCATAAAAGACACCTCCAACGGTTTGCAAATCTTCATAAGATTTGGCATCAGTGACGTTTAGGAGCATGACTCTCAATGCGAATCTTTCCTGATCTCTCGGAGACACGAAATGCCTTCTTCCGATCGATCGTGTAGCATTTTTTCTAAGAGTCCATTTTCCTTTGGTGAATTGGAAATGTTCTGGCATCTCAACATAATAGATACCTCGGCAGTCCACAACGTCTTCTGGAATCATTCCAGTCGATTCAAGCTCATCATATCATCTTTTGCTTGCAGCAAACCACGCTGTTAGTGTTGTTTCTCGGATCTGTCCTCTCTCTGCTGCATCTTTTTCTTCTCCTTCTTTATAAACGACTTCTTGGGCATTCTTCAGATGCACTTTGAGCTGCATAACTGGCGTGCTTCTGTCGGACATTCGGAAGTCGAAGATATGCCAAAGAGACTCTGGAGCACAGACGTATCGACCATCCAAGTAGCTGTTGACCTCATTCTTCGTCCTGTGCTCGACTTCATTTTTATCAGTGTAGATGCGGATAGCAGCTCGAGATGTACCTTTGTAAAGATATTTGTAAAGATATTTAACTGCTCCGACGTTCCCACGAATTTCCAAATTCGCATGACTTCTGAACTTTCTGGAGAGGTACTTGTTGTATGGGACCACACTTCTATTGTCCAGTTTAACAACTCCAGAATTTTTCGTTTGTCTAGAAATGTCTAGAAAGTTCTGGAATTTTCTAGAATGTTCTGTAATTTTCGAGAATTTTCTGGAATTTTCTAGAATGTTCTGGAATTTTCTAGAATTTCTGGAATTTTCGAGAATTTTCTGGAATGATGTAGAGCTTTCGAGAGTATTCTAAACTGTCCTGGAATTCTCTAGAATGTTTTGCAGTCGAAAAAAAAAACACGGCAACCAAATTTACAGTAGGTCACAGAATTTGAGTTAATCACGAAAAAAATGTTACAAAAAATTTCTGTTGCGAAGCTTTCAGCTCAATTTTTTGTGGGCAGCACATAGATAGGCCTGAAAACCGTTTTTGAGAATTCCCTGAAGTTTTAGTGAGTTTCAACATAAATTTGAAATTTTCGATTCTCAACCCTATAGGTTCCCGGTTAGCTAGAAGGCCCAGGACACCATGGACATGAAGCGCTCGGTAGTCCATGGCTACATACCACACACCATTATAGGAGTCCCATGCCCTTTGGAGTTATTCAAGTAAATGTCCGAGACGGACACACTGACACACACACAGAAAAGTTTCCTTACTATTAGTAAGAAGTAGATATTTAAACTTTTACCTTAATTATCTTAATTTCTGTAAGATATAAATTTTTGTCAACTAAAAAAATGTTTATCATAATACACCAACATTTTTTTAGTTGACTTGTTTTTGATGTATGTTTCAGGAACCGAGATAATTGAGCTTGAAATGCCATTTTACGTTAAGCTAAGCGGTCGCAAAAAAATTGGCTGCCCACCGATGGTAGACATAAACTTTGAGCGATACCGAGATAAATGAGCTTAAAGTACAATACATTATTTCTCCGTTTCAAACACGTTGTTTCACAAATGATGGGTTACAGTTGCTCTGGTAGTTCCGTTTAGTACAAATCTACGATTTCTAATTGAATTCATTTTTTGTTCTGAAAATTGGAATTTCAGTTTCAAAAATATTTTATCCGAAGTTCCTTTTCTGCCAAAACCAGTGAATAGGTTCCCCGACCATTTTTTCTTGAATTCTTCCACAAATCTGAAAATGAAGTTTTTAAAACTTTAAATGAAAATCACTTCATATAATCAAAAAAGTTTTGAAATGTCAAAGAAGCAAAAATGAATAACTCAGAAAGTGACAAAATTTCAGAAAATCGGAATCAAAAAATATGGATTAAAATGAAAAACGAGGGCTGCATAGCACCCATAAAAATGGTATAAAAGACATATGTGGAACCGGAAATTTAAAGGGACATGAGATTCAAACAGGAGGCAAAGAATTAGAAAATTCAAAGGGACATGAGATTTTAAGCGGGGCAAGCAATATTTTTATACGTACCGGAAAGGTTTTTTTTTGAGAAATGGGGGAAGAAGCCCGTTTTTAAATTAAGTTTAAAGGAGTCTTAAAGGATTATTTGAAAAAAAAGAGAGTCTTTTAAAGGAGTCTGGTACATTAAAGGTTTATATTAAAGGATTATAGGCTTGTAGTACTTTCCACTGTAGTATAAGGGACATTAAAAAAGGAAAAAACTAAGGTCGGAACTCAAAATGAAAATCGGCCTCTATCTCTTAAATCCTTTCTGGTGGATGAAATTGAGCCATCCAATCATCATCATCGTCATTGGGAGCCGCCGGTTCAAATGGATTCATCTCTTCTTCTCTAAGAATTTCCCAAGGTGCCCTGTCCGCTGGCCTTGGCTCACGAGGCTGCAGAGGCGGTGAAGGTAGTCTATTCCTAATCCTGCGTAGTGCCGCTCGTTCTCTCGCTCGCCTCACAAGCGCCTCGTAGTTCCGTGTAGCTAGATCGTTCACCAATCGAGCTCCATGCCAAGCAATGTGAATGTAAAGGTCCTCGGACATTCGGAAGTATCCCATCATACGGTCGTTTGTGACGATTTCATAGATGGCGATGCCTTCAGTAAGATCCTCGCGCACTCTTTGTAACATTTCTTGAAAATCAGGTGCATCATGCTCACCGTCTGGGGCAACTCGATGGAGCCAATCCACGAACTGGGCATGCTGAAAGTCAGAAAGTTTGTTTAAAGATTTCTGGGCGTTGAAAAATTGCTGCCTGGGCTTGATGACTTCATGGGCTAGTGTCGTCTAACAAAGTCAAATTCACTGTACTTCAGATGATGGGGACTGTAAAAGCCCCTAGTATTGGACCTTGGGTCCCCTGGAATAAAGAGCTTTTTTAGGCCACCACGTTAAACTTACCTTAAAACACAACAAGTGAATATAAATCCAATTCTAGCCAAAAAAAAGTGGTTGCCTAGAAAACTCAAAGTAAGGCCACTTCGACAAAATTGCCCAAAAACACATTAGAGGCTTGTCAGGCCGTTTCTAGGTCGTTTGCCATGGTGGCCTAGAAAACGCAACTTGCATAAGTTAGGCCACCACGTTCCAATGACCTAGAAAAAAAACCAGGGACATGGCAGGCCGTTTCTAGGTCATTTTAACGTGGTGGCCTAGAAAACCCAACTTGCAATAGTTTACTCACCGTCCACCTTGTATACTCCACATCCTCCCCGCCCTCTGGGTATATGATTCCACCGGGAAACTGAAATTTAAGCAAAAATTATTTTTTTTTTAATTTCCTAAATCTTACAGGTCCTTCATTATACCGTGGTGGACGAACTGGCACCTCCTCATCCTCTTCGTCAACATCATCAGCTACGGGAACCGGTGCCTGGCCGGCTACTGCTGGAGCTGGAGCAGCCTCTGGAGCTGGACCCTCAGCTGCCACTGGAGCTGGAACTCCAGCTTGCTGATCCGGTTCATCGGGCATCGGTTGCTCATCTCTCACCTCTTCTTGAGCCAATTGCAGAACTGCATGCGCAACTTCAACCTCCTCGTCATCTTCATCGCTATCTGAATCCTCATCAAGCTCATGATTTCTGGGAGCCGCGTCGATAATAAGTTCAATATCCTCATCATCCAATTGTCCTGGAGCCTCTGCTTCCATCTCGGCAACCATTCTGTCACGTGCCTCTCGAATCCTCTCGGCCTCCCTACGATGACGTTCCAAGTCATGTGCTCGAAGTATATCTCCAATGGGTGGTACGTCTCTGAAGATTCCAATGTTTCGAGCCTCCCGATTTCGTATCATCTGCTCCTCAGCACGAATTCTAATATGTTCCGGAAGTGGTGGTGGTGGTGGAACATTATTAAAGATCAATCGAATCTCATGCATCTCATGCTCATCTTCAGCTCGATCCAACATGATTGCCCGAGCATTTTCTAGATCTTCAGGGTCAAAGGCCGCTGGGAGTCCTCCTCTGGCAATATTCTCCAGTTGAGCATGAAGTCTAGCCATTCTGTCTACAACTGGACCGTTACGAAGTCTCCGTGCCTCTCGTTCCAAATTCCTTTGAGCTATAATCGCTCGCATTCTTCTATGATTTCTCCCCTCAGCATCCAATGGTGGTCCATCCATGAAGAGATTATTGAAATCTCGCTCAATTCCATTAACCAGATTTTCAATGGCTTCTGGTCCCTCGAGAGCCGGGTCTGGTTCAAAAGCCAGGTCTGGTTCAAAAGCCGGTCCATCTTGTCTTTCAGCTGGCGCTGCTCTCTCTTGCGCCTCCCTGTGGATCTGTTCCTGCTCCTCCAGATTCTCTCGCTCAATTTCTAGTTGATTGTTCCTGACCAGAATCTCATGTTCTCGCTGCTGGTTCCATTCCCCAGCACGTCGGATCTTCATATTATGGCGTTTGATATTATAGACGTTGATCAGTTTGGCTGCGTGGAACCTCAGGGTGCTGGACTGAGGCTCTTCGAGTCGCATTGATTCAACCATTGCTGGATCTGAAGCCACCTCCGCTAGAATGTCTCCAGCGATTCCTGTGTTTTGAATCTTTTGGATGGTTTGGGTGCCAGCAGCGCCGGGGAAGACTTTTTTGGACCATATGATGACTTGGTCGTGCTGAAAATTAGTTTTTATAGTTTTTCGCTCCTGATTCTTAATTCAGCTGTTCCGTGGAGCGCACACTGTCAAGCTAACTTTTCTTGGCTCCCATGCAAGATATCAAAAAATGATCAACTGATAAAATGATTGTGATATTATGATAAACATTGTATCAGTTGACACGCTCTTGAAATCTTTGACAGGAACCGAGTAAAACTGGCGAAAATAGGGCCCTTCTATTACAGGTTTTACGGTACGCTCTATAAGCGTGTATAGCTATGAAACTTAAGGTCTCAATGAAGCGCAATTTCGTAAAAAAAAATTGAAAAACCAAACTCACCGACCAACACTGGAAGTTGACATTGTTATTGGGCAATGTGTAGAGTCTTGGGTGATTCTGGAATTTTTGAAAACTTATTTTTGGATTCCTTTAAAATCACTTACCGGTCCTTCATCTAACATGGGTGGTCCAGTATAGCCACGTGGCGGTCTCTCGGCAAGTTGTTCATTTCCTGGTGGCTGCTCCGGGGGAGATGCAGGTCGAGGTATTCTTGCTCTGCCCTCTCTGGCCCTGATTGCCATCACTAATCCGCCCCTGGGATTATGAGCTCCTCGACCTATTCTTACTCTTGGCATCCTTGAATGGTAGGAAGTTTCGTGAAGCTTCCAAAGGTTTCCAGACGGTGAGCCAAGTTCCTGGAATTTTGAGATTTTAGAGCTCCTATGACAATTGTGAGATTAGAGTAATTCCATCGGCTTAAAAGAGATGAGGATCGTGAAACGGAGAAAAACATTTAAAAAGTAGTTTGGCTTCGAAAAATTATATGGTGAACAGGCTCTGTCGGGGTTGGTAGTCGGATATTCAATTCCTTGAAAAAAAGGACCAGATATGGAAGAATTGGCGGAATCCCATTGAATTGAAAGTTATGAGAATTGCGAAACAGGGAAAATTTGAAACATTTTGTTGGGGCTAACTAATGAAATTACAAAGGCGCTCCCATAGAATTTTGAAAATTTCAACTAATTTCCGTGTAGGTTCTTTCATAGTGGGAAGTTTCGAGAAGCTTTCCGACAGTGACTAGAGGGCGTTCTCCTACCTTCGAAAAAAAGAATGAGAAAACAGAGGATCGGATTTTATCTCAGCAGCAGAACCAACTGCCGTTGAATCGATCGCTTCTGCCTGTCTATGTTGTGTGTCCGGCAGGAAAAAAGTAAGCAAGCGTGTGAGAGAGGTTAGACAGCCAGACAAAAAAGAAAATAGAGTGGACAAGTGAGGAGGGCCTCTGCGCAAGGCAATGAGATAGTGTAGAAGATGAAGAGCGTGTGTGCCCTCTACTTTTCGAATGATGCAAGAGAGACGAAGAGAACATGACCGGAGAGGTATCAGGAGGGACATGTGGAATATTTGAAATTGGAGAAGGCGGAGAGGAAGAGATTAGATGAGGTGGCAAGAGGGATGGGATTAAAGGACATGAGATTTTGTGTTGAAAAGATTGGAATTATACTAATGGAAGGAAAGCTTAGAAGACCTTCACGAAGAAGTTCTGAAAATCCGGGGATTACGGGGAAAAGCTATGCTTTTTCAACACTGATGATCATATAAATTGAAGAGACAGTTAGAATGGACAGAATGAGCAAAAGAAAGGGAGTTGTTGCGATTTTTGACATTCTATTGGGTCACCATTATCTCCTCTTTTTTGCTCTAGAAATTCAGAAATTACTGTTTCAAGTTCTCTATTTTTTCTAGAAACTTGTCAGTCTGTACTGCGTAGGTTTTTCTCAACAATGTCTAAAATTCTCCGTTTCAAGTTTTCCATTTCTTCCAGAATTTTCCAATTTCAGGGATCCAGCAGGCGTGTTAATCAGAATTGATTTTTGATAGAAAAAGGAGAGAGAGAGAGAGAGAAAATTCAATTCCAGAATTTCAAAAATTCCAGAAGAAAAAGCTGTAAGTTTCAAAATCAACATTTTTCTTTAGCAACTTTTCATTGAAAGTTTTAGATTGATTTTTACTGCTTTAAATTTAACTCTTTAATTGTTTATTTTTTATAAGGTTAATTATCTACATGTCCGACTAAGGAATTGAATAATTTTTGGTTTTTACAGGCCAAGGCCCAAAATATTTCATTTTCTAAGTCATGACTCAGGTTTTCGTATTTTCTATGTCACAAACGAGTGATTTTCCGATAAAAAGAAAATGGTCCAAAATTGAAATCAATGTTTCAAAAACTTCATTTTTCCTATTGATTAAAATACATGATATTGGTTATTTAAAATCCATGTTAATCTGCGCGATTTTTAGAATTGACGATAGAGGTTCGCGGAGCCAAAAATTTATGAAAATTGAATTTTTTCACTGTTGCAATAACTTGATGAAGCAATTCATCAACTTACTTGGGTAATCTTTAATCAATACTTTCGATCATTCAAATTTTAATTTCGAAAATTTCAATTTAATAGTCTGATTTTTAAAGGAACCACTGTTCCAAGAGATCAATATCCCACGATAAGAAGTTTTTTGTTAATTTCGAGTTACATCCACAAGCCAAAATGGCTCGGGCCAAAAATAAATGCAACTATTGCCCGACTTAACTCGGTACCAGTGAAGCCCGCCCAGCGCGTGCGCTTTGAGCTCAATTATCTCGGCTCCTTCAAAAGATATCAAAATTTTGTCAACTGATAAAATATTTGCCATAACATCAATAACATTTTATCAGGTTACAAATTTTTGATATCTCTTACAGTAATTGAGATAATTAGGCCCAAAAGGAGCATTATTTAAAGTTCAACAATTTCTGAATAAATTCATTATTTCGTTTGTTCGGTTCCAGATTCAGCAGCGTATTACTGTAAATTATTTACGAAGAACTATAAAAACTTTATGAAATCGTAATTTTTTTGCGATAGTTGGAATTAAAAAAGGAACTGTTACATCATCGTTATATGAAAATATGGAATGATCCTATATTAAAAAGAACAACTCACAGTCTAACTTTCTGATGTGAATGTTACCTACTTGAATCCATATTTTGAAGTTACTGTTTTTTTTTATTCTAGAGTTCAAAAAACGTATTCCATACTAATAATGTAAGTAGCAGGGAAAATGTAAATCGAGAAAAATGGAAAATGTATTAGCTTGCTGTGCATCAAGCCCGCACATGAAAAACACAAGGATTAGCAAAATAGTGTGTGAAGGTGAGACACTCAGACATTCCGGTGTCCTAGGAAACCTAGTCAGCTCCGCCGTGGGAAATCAAGCTATATGGCATGTGATATGATTATTGTGGATTAGGGATTGACGAGAGAATTATTAAAACTCTTGGATAGAAAGCCAAGGTTTTTGTCTGCACCAAAAACTTTTATTATACTCAAAATGCGTTTTAATCGTATAATTTACTGTTAAATTTCGAGTTTCCCTCTAAATAACAAGAAATTGAAACTGCATTATTGTTTTTCTCAAAAACGATTTATTAAATACTACATGTTATAATAAAAAAGTACAAGTATAGAAACAAGAAATGGAAGAACCTGATCAAGAAACTGGAAAAAGATATATGAAAAGAGTCATGGGGATTTTAATGACACAAAAAAGGGAGCAAAGACGGCAATATTTTAAAAAAATGGGAGTACTGTAGCTTCAAAACACCCTCACCAGAGGATCAGGCAATGCATTATTATACTGGTCGAGTTGTTTGACATATTTGTATAATTTGTACTTATTGATTAGTCTGACAGCGTGAGAATGTAGGTTTTCTTTGTTTTCCGGATTCAAATTGAAGAATTTGGAGACTTCATTCATATTTAGAGCCATTTCAGGAATCATGTTTCCATCGCAATTGAATTCTTTCAATTTTTCAATGAAATCGTTGTCCGGGATTGGCATAATATGGGCGACCCAATTGTAGAGGTATGTTTGCTGGAAGAAAAACTTTGGTTGAATTTTTTTTCGGTAAAAAAGGGACCCAAACTTTGGTGCTGAACCAGCAAAAAATTTTCAACGTTTTGTCATTAACATTTTGTAACTTGAACATTTTCCGATATCTTCAACAGTAACCGAGATGAATTAGATCAAAGTTAATGGGATTTTCTTTTGCAGAATTTGCGGCAAGAGTGTATCAACAACCGAGAGTGTATCAACAATTCAATATTTTTAAACCATTAAGACATTTTCGAAACAGCAAATATTATTTTTTTTTCACTGTGGCATACTGTAGTTTTACATAAAAATAGTTTTCTTGGAACTTCAGCCACCCCAGACTTTGACCTTTTTTGTCTCGTTTTCTGTAAATGATATCAAAAAGTGGTCAACTGACAGAATGTTCATCATAATATTATCTATATTTTATCAGTTGACTATATTTTGATATCTCTTACAGGTACCAAGATAATTGAGCTCAAAGCTAATGAGCCTTTACATTACAGTTTTTACGACGGCGACAATACCAATACCAAACACCAACTCAATACTTTTGACTGATTAAAACACTTTCGAAATAGCAACTTTCATTTTATTTTTCTCTGTGTATACTTTAGTTTTAATTGGAAACAATTTTCTCTTAATTTTGTTCAAGTAAGCTCTTTTTTAACTTGTGGGCTTACCGTTGGCTACTCTACGTTGCCCCCAGCTGAAAAGTGCCCCCAAAATTTGATTCAATTTATCTCGCTTTTTGTGAGCGATATCAAAAAGTTGTCAACTGATAAAATGTTTATTATAGTATCACAAATGTTTTATCAGTTGACCATTTTTTGATATATCTCACAGAAACCAAGACATTTGGGTCAAAGTTTGGGGTCCTTTCTACCGTAAGCACTCTAATATTTATAACGACCCTCTATTGTCCACTTTGAGCCGATTTATCTCAGTTTTTGTGTAAGATATCATAAAACTGTCAGTTACGAGAATGTTGATTATAAAATTTTCCGTACTTTGTCAATTGACCAGTTTTTGATATCTCTTACACGGTCCGAAATAAATTGGGTCAAAGTTAAGGGGTCCCGGGGCACCGCAACAGTTCCGGTTAAACGGAGCCGTTGGGCATAATTTATACCCTCTCTTTAAACTCCAAAGAACCATACTTACCGACCACCGCTGAAAATCAAAATCCTCATTTTCAGTAATCCTCTCGTAACACATTTGAAAATGTTCACCAACTAGGAAATCTGGGATTTTCGGTTTTCTTGGTCTCCCGACACCAAATCCCATCGCTGGTAAGTTATCACCCAAGTTTAACGCGTAATCTGCAACTCCGATCAGGATTCTCCGATGATTTTGGGCCAAGTCATTGGGATTATTGTTGAGTGGACCCTTTTTTAGCTCTTCTAGAAGCTTCTCAAGGGAGTTTAATGGTCGAGGTTGGGCCATAGATGGAACGCTGAAAATTGAAATTTTGCTGGTTTGAAGGTTTGAACAATTGGACAAGGACACAAAAGTGAAACAGAAAATCAATTCTCGCCTGTCGGCGAGATAGTGTAGATAACGAAGAGACAGCAGACATGTGGACTAGGAAATTGCAATGCGGCCACCACCCTTATCTGCATTTTGTGTGTGTGTAATAAACGGTCAAGGGCAAGGTTACACTATCAACTTTTAAAGGCGAGTTATCTCGTTTCCTGTGAAAGATATCAAAAGTGGTCAATTGATAAAATGTTACTGATATTGTATTAAATATTTTATCAGTTGACCACATTTTGATACCTTTTACAGGAATCGAGATAAACTTGGTCAAAAAGTGGATATAAAAGAATCCAAACGATTTTGACGAAATTTTTACAAATAAGAAAATTGGATCGAATAACTCAAAATTTTCAAAATTCGGGTAACTGTAGTTGGATTACGCGGTCGCAATCTCTACCACCAATTTGACCCAAATTGTCTCAATTTAAGCACCAAAAGCAGGAAAAAAGCGACAAAAATTGCTTCCAAGTTCATTTTCAATGAAAAAATACGAGCTCCAGAAATACACGAAGACGATGAGCACGGATTCTGAAACGTTGCCAGAATACTACGCATTAAAAATACTACATCTAGTGAAAATTTGAACAAAATCGGAGAGGGTCGATTTTGGTCGAATTTTTGTTGGCATGTACTCCCCCACATGGTGAAACCTCATTTTTGGGCACATTTTGGCCTAAAACTCATAGGGGGCTCAAGTTTATCTTTTATCTCAAAACAGTTTCTAATGTATTTTTTTAATGTAGAATCTAAATTTTATGTTTAATTCTATAAAAAAATGGCCATGTTTTTCAGGACGGTCATTTTTTGGTCCAAAAAAATAGCTTTTTTGCAAAAAATTGATCATCATTATCATCTTCGTCTACATACGCGATTTCGTCCCCCGAACTGTCCCCCGAAATTTTTGCTGTCTCGCCTCCTTTAAGACTCTGACAGAACCAAAAACAGTGCTGTACAGAAAAATTCGAACTTGTTTTTTCTGGCTATCGGTGGGTTTCTGGATATCGGTCGTCAGGCGCCTTTGCGCCCCCGTAGCTCAGCCGGTAGCGGCGCTGTACCCCTGAGCTGCCTGTCATGAGTTCAACCCCTCATGGAGGTTCTCTATGCAAAATATCAGGAAAACTTTTTTTTGGTGTCTGGCCTCTTTCAAAAGGAAAACATATAATGTTCGAAATAACAATTCTGAAGTGTTAAATAAGAAACAGTAAAATATGGATTTTATTAGTGTAGAAAAATGAAATGTAAAAACAGCAACGCCCAATAACAAAAAGGAGACTCAAAATTGGAACTAATCATCATCATTATCATCTCCAAATTTCCCTTTTGCTTCTTTGATTAACCACTCGTTCATGTACTGCTCCATTTCCTTTTCAAATTTCTCCAAATGATACCGATTGACCACTTTTCTAGCTTCACTTTTAAGGAGTGAATGTTGCTGATCGTTGAGTCCAAGGTGTTCCTTCATCTTGGCGTCAGTGGCAAGTTCACTGACTACTGATCCGTCAAATTGAAATTCAGCAATTTGAGTCATAACTGATTCAACCACATGTGGGCGTATGACTTGGTATACCCACTGAATGAAGTCGATTGGCTGAAAACGTAGGAATTGAACCAGTATTCACTTTTTTATAATTTGTGACACCAACATGGAAAAAGTGGATAAATAGGTTAATTATGAAAATATGAACGTTTTAAAACCTGTATATAAACCTGTATATGAAACCTGTATATGTATTAAAACCTGTATATGTATATGTATTTTTTTTTTGTAGCAACTTAAATAATAATATAATCTCGTTAATTGGATCATCACATATCCCCGCAGTTTAAGCTCAATCATCTCGACTTCTGTAAAAGATATCGAAAAGTTGGTAACTACAAAAATGTTTATCATAGTATCACCAACATTTTTGAAGTTGACAGAGTTTTGATACCTCTTACTGAGGCCGAGATAATTGAGCTCAAATTATGAGTATAAAGGTGTCGTGTCACAGAGCTACACGGTCGAGAACCTGGTGGACGGTGATGTGATTCTTATACCCAAATATGTTCAAAAGCCATGTTATCATAAGACTAGCAATTTTGAAAACAGACTCAAAACTTCCGATTTTAAAGAAACAGAAAAAATTACCATTTCAACAAACCTCATTGTATTTGTCGGGAAATAAAAGTTTCTGGACTGTGTAGCTAGCAGCGCGGCATATCAACTTCGAGCTCATATAACTCATTTCCTGTACACGATATCAAAAAGGGGTCAACTGATAAAATGTTTATCATAATATCAAAAACATTTCATCTGTTGGTTATTTTTGGCATCTGTTACAAGAACCGAGAGGAAAATGACATTAAGTTACGCCCCAACTAGTTGTAAGCCCAGAAGCGAAACCGAAACACTCACCGACCATAATTTGAAATCAGATGTCTTATTTGGTGGCAAAACTGGCAGAGAAACCTCTCCAAACTCAAAATTCAATCGACCCAACGGATGAGGCGTTTCCGGTGGAATTGGCACCCGAACTTCAGGTTCATCCGGTTGTCTCTCACTGAAACCTATTCTCCTTTCAAATTGACGCTGCTCTTCTATTCGTCGCGAACGCATTTGAGCCAATAGTCGTTCCATTGATTCTATATTTTTCTGTCTTAATTTGGCACGTCGGCGCTCCTCAAGATTGTTGTTTTCAGGTGCGTTATGTCGGGCATACGCTCGCATTGCAAGCAGCTCTCTTTCGAATTGATCTTCTTTTTGTATTTGTTCTTGCAACATTTGTTCTTTTGCTGCTTTTTGTGCTTCCTGATCCTTCAGAAACTGATTGAATGCATCTGTATCAGATATTGTACTATTAGGTTGGTATAAAAGGTTTGATCATAATCAAGGTTTCTTTTTTTAACTTCTAATTGTTAGGCGGACGTAAAGGCCGTAAGGGAAAATCCGTGGCTCTGTTTCCGACAGCCCTGGTCATATTAATCTTTATTTTGACACAACTTTTTTTGTATTTTATATTAACGATCTCTAGGGTCCACTAAAGTAAGGGGATTTAGAAGAACCCGGTCAAAAAAGGGAACAAAAAAATGAGGTACAAAAATTGAAAAATGGCCAAGGTTCATATTTTCCACATCCCATAAGTTGCTTTAAGGGTCTCTTTGTGTTCCTCTAAATTTTTTGGAACCCCTAATTTGTAAGGTCCTTATAAAATTAACGGTTTCTAAATACTTGGTACCTACCTATCGCTCCGTGTTCATCATCATTATTGGGTGCTACAGTGGCTTTCTGGTAAAGATTATCCAAAATTCGACGAAGAAAATCGTTGGGTTCCTCCATGGTGACTTTCCAGTTTGAACTAACCCCACAGAATATAAGGTTCTAGCTAAATAGGGAAAAAAAGTGATCTAAAAGAATCACAAATCATAGAACAAGTATAAGTTGAATTGCTTTCGAAACAATCGGTTGGAACATCAACAACAAAAATTTTTAACAAGTTATTTTATTTTTGCTACATTCAATTATTAGAACAAATCGAATATCTCCGATAACTTTTTTTTCTCGAAGGTGTGGATATTTGATTTCAAATCAGAAGAGACGGTTATACCTCTCAGCTTGGTAAATTTCCACGATTTTCCTCGCTTCACTTTGAAGGCGTGAAAAGTGCACTTCACCAAGTTCCAGATATTTCTTCAGTGGCATACCGAAGGCAAATCTGAGAACAGCAGATCCGTCAATTTTTTTTTCAGATTCCTCGGAAAAGACAAGAGATACCCAGGAGGAGAAGTCCGCTTTCTGAAATGAAAAACAGATTTGATGAATAATTTTGGAAAACCTTTCGGTAGATAACTAAAACAAGAAAGAGAAACTAAACATTCAAACTTGTTGGACCAGAAAAAATTCTGTTTTTCCTGTTTCAAATAGTTCAATAACTGTTTAAAAATTATTGTTTCACAGTAGCATTCGATTCAATACTATGAAAAAATCTAATTGTGAAATCACAAAATCGCTAGAAAAGTTAAACCGTTACTCCTACTCAATTTATCTCGCTTCCTGTGAAAGATATCAAAATGTAATCAACTAACAAAACATTTATCAAAATATCACAAATATTTCGTCAGTTGAAAACTTTTTGATATCGTTTACAGGAACCGAAATAAAATGCCTTAAAGTGGACCTTCCCGTGAATGCTTCAGTAACACCATGTAAATATTTGCACATTAAATCAATTATCTTGGTTCCTATGAAAATTATCAAAAATGTGTCAACTGATAAAAAATTCACCATAATGTCATCAAAATTTTATTAGTTGACAGATTTTTGGTATTTCTCATAGTAATCGAGATAATTGAGCTCAAAGTGCTCAGATCATTTTGACTAACAACTAATGCCAAAAAACACTCACCGACCACGAGTTGAATTCACAGTCCAACCCAAGAGGCAATAGTGGAGCAGCAATTCATCATACCAATGGGTTCGGGAATCCTAGCATTTCCTTTTTCGTCATGTGCAGCTGACTCTTTAGCGACACCCTCGTTCTGTTCTATTAATTCTCGAAGGTCTTCCATTGAACAGAGTTTTTCTGAAATTTGGTTAGAACAGCAATCAAAACAAAAAAGTCTTACCTTCTCTGAACTTCACGGAAAAGGTTGCAGAGGTTCTAAATCTGGAAAAAAATTATTTGAAGAATTCAAAAACAAAAAACGAAGTAAAAGTTAACTCGAATTCAAAACGATATTTTAGAATTACAAAAACCGTAAGTTTAGCAGAATTATTTTATATTTGAAACAGTAAATTAGGAGAGGATATCGAATAGCAGGTATTCAGGAATGTCAGGAAATGAGGACAGAGATAGGTTTGAGCAAGACAGAGATTCAAAAAATGACACATGCGATATGCAATGAAAACTTGAAGATTCGATTTCAAGCCAAACGAGCTTCTCTTCTTTATCGCTGCAATCATCAGCGCCAATAAATTGGCCCAGCGGCTAATCTCGTTTCCTGCAACTCCCACTGGTTCTTATCAATCATATACTGCATCATTTCTCGTTCAAACTTCTCGGCGTGGTGAATATTCACTATTTTCCTCGCTTCACTTTGGAGCCGTGAGAATTGCACATCATCAAGTTCCGGACATTCCTTACTGATGGTTCGGTGGCAAGAAGGAGGATATCAGCTCCACTGAGGCTCGTTCTTCGGATGCTATCCACGACTGTTTTGTCAGCATCCTGTGGAAAGACAAGAGTTATCCAGGATGAGAAGTCTGCTTGCTGAAAATGATTTTTTTTTCTTTTTTTTTCTGTTTCAGAAAGTGAGAAAATCATTTTGAAGACTTTCATCCATATTGTGCAATGATCCGGAACAAAATTTCCTCCAACTTCAACTCAATTTATCTCGTTTCTTGTGAGAGATCTCAAAAAGTGGTCAATTGATAAAATACTTATCATATTGTCGAATTAAAAAAAACTGGGACCTGAGAATTTGAAAATCGTCGCATTCCGATACCTCTACCATTATTTTACCACTCAATTTTAACCAAATATTCAAACTTCCTGTAACGGAGAATTTCGGTTTTTTTTAATCGATATTTTCTGTTTCAAATAGTTCACTAACATTTTCATAATTTTTGCGTTCCAATAATTCTGTCGAAGAAATACCAAAAAAGTCAACCGCTAACTTCAATCTAATTTATCTCGTTTCCTGTGAATGATATCAAAACATGATCAACTAATAAAAAATTTACGACATTATAGTAAAATTTTTTTTTAGTTGACCACTTTTCGAGATCTCTCACATGAACCGAAATGAATTGCCTCACAATTAACAGTTGCGGAATTTTTTTAAACAAAAGTTTTTTGTTTCAGAAAGTTGAGAAAATTTTTGCCCATTTTTTAAATATCCGCTCAGTTCTATCCAAATATACCACTTATTTTTAATCAAAAAAAACTTTTTGGAACAGAGTATTTCGTTTTTTTAAATCGATATTTTCTGTTTCAATTAGTTCACTAACCTTTTCATAATTTTTGTGTTTCAATAAATTCGACGAGCTAACTGCACTTCGACAAAATCTCTTAGCGGAACCGAGACAACTTGTCTTTAAGATGACAGTTGCAAGTTTAAAGGGCAAAAAATTCGGGGGGTACAATGATTCGGGGGTACAAGGGGGTACAACTGATTTAGGGGTACAAAATTGATGATTCGGGGGTAAAAAATTCGTGGGTACAAAAATTCGGGGGTACAACGATTCGGGGGTACAAACTACCAATGATTCTGGGGTACAACTCATTTCATTTAGGGGTACAACGCTTGTGATTCGGGGGTACAATTTTTTTTGAGGGAGTTTCTGAATTTCAGAGCTCGAAAACATCAGAGTTTCAGAACTTCAGAATTTTGAAATTTCAGAATCTACGAATTTTGGAACTTCTGAATTTTTCTCATCTTCTTTTTTCCATATTCCTCCGTTCTTCCCAATTTTCCGTTTTTTCGCAATATTTCGGTTTTTCTCCATTTTCCATTTTTTCTCATCTTTTCTCAATTTTCGTGGTAATTGAAATTTTTCTTATTTTTTAAATAATTTTGATAATTCGGATTCAATTTTTTTTCAATGTTTTAAAGACAAAACAGAACAATTTTATGTGGCAACAATTCATAGTTGAACAACACAACAGCAACAACAAAGAATGCAAAAACAAAAAAAAAAGGATTAGACAATTAAGAATGACCTTAAGATGAGAAAAAAAAATTGAAGCCAATTGGGGTTTATTTGAAGGAAGCTTGGTAGCGGGAAGGAGGACCTGAGTTTCTCTTTGACTTCTTTCTAGGCGGTGATGGACAGTCTTCTGGTGTTGTTTCGGTGTCTCTGTAATATATTAATGAGCTGATTGAACATTTAAATGAGTCGCTCACTTTGTCTCACTGTCGTCTGAATCATCCGAAAGTCGATGCATGTATCCAATCGGAAACTTTTCTTTGAGAGACATTGGTTTCACATGTTGTCCTGTGGAAACATCGGTCACTTCTTCAGAATCGCTTTCAGGCTTTCTCGAGCCCTTTTCTCCAAGAACATCACGAAGATCGATCTGTGAACTATGATCATTCGAGACACGATTTGATGGCTTCGGCACTGGATTGACATTCTGATATCCGAAAATATCATTCTCCTCATCAGAATCGCTGTCATACTTTCTTGGATCATCAGAAAGATCCATGCAAGAATCATGAGAGTTCAAGTGATCCACAGAAGGGTCAAGGACTAGATTGACATGTTCATCATTGGAATTACAATTAATTTCATCCTCGACGATATCTCCCGACTCATCGAAGACATTGGGTTTAGAATTCAAGCTATTCACATCACAATCACTGTCATTTTCCTCATCACTAGAAATATTCCCATCTGCTTTCCTTTCATCATCACCGCTTTCAGACTCGCCAGAGACATTTCTATTGACCTTCTTGAATTCGGATACAGTTCTCCCGCCGTTATTATGTGACCTTTTAGAGT